GGATGTAGCTATGCCCCAAACATGCCCTGGAACTCTGCCAACTCCCTGGATCCTTGTGTCCCTCCCCAAGATGATGCTCCTCGTCTTGTGGACCTCACCTGGTGTCTCTGTGGCACAATTTTACTTCCCCTTCTCACCTCAAGTAATGAGCCAGGAGGGCTCCAGTCAGTCCCATCCCCATCACCAGGAGGAAGCCAACAAAGACCAGGCCTGGCTCCACTCCTGAAGGGACAAAGAAAAGACACTTGGTCTTGGAAGAGGAAGAGTCCCTTAAGAGAAGGAGATATTCAATCAGTCATGCCAAATCTAAGAAATGGGCTTGGGAGCTGAGTGAAAGATCACAGATTCCTCAAAGAGGGAGTCTGGAGATGCCACAGGGGTCCTCAAGGGTTCTGGAAATCCTTGAGGGGGGTCCTGAGCAAGCCATGGGCTAAAGGAGGACCTGGGAGAAAAACAGGAGTTCCCTCTGTCCCATAGATTTGTGACTTGTCCATGCTGACTGTTTCAGTGGGAGCCTTAGGATGCTCCCTGAGTGTGCTCCCCTCACCTCCATTGCAGATCACATCTGGATTGAACCAGCAGGAAGGATCTGGCCCGGGTGCAGGTCCACCTCTAGGGAAGTGCACCGGGGGCCCAGCAGAGCGCAGGGAGCCTCGGATGGGATCCAGCAGGTGGGTGGTAACGAGCCGGTCTCCTGATGCATCTGTGTCCAGCAGCACAAAGGAGGGCTCCTCAGTTCTTCCCAGGTCCCCGCAAAAGCCAGAGACTTGGGCTTCCTGAACTTGGCGGGCCACAGATGCGCCTGACACCCAGCCACCACCCACAGCTGCTCTGGCTCTCATCACTCCCCCAGCCAACAGGAAGACAGCGTCGTAGATGGTTCCGAACAGTGGAGAGACCTAGAGGAGAGCAGAGTGAGGACTTAGAGCCCATAAATGGTGAGAATTCGCTGGCCTGCAGGTCCCTTTATTAGCTCCACTGATTCTGAGGGTGCCGATCTCCATCCTCCCCATTGTCTGTTGGTGTAGACTGCACCGCTTTTAGGAACTGAGTTCTCCTGTCACCACGACTGTGACTCGCCATAGCCCAGACCTTCCTATCTAGGTTGTTGCCTGGCTTATACTTTTAACGCCGTCACCTGCCATTCATCTAAAGCCCACCCCCATCCTTTGTTCATGTCTTTCTGTTGTTGTTTATTTAATTTATTGAGTCATGGTCTTTCTAAATTGCTGAGACTGACCTTAACCTCATTCTATAGCCTAGGCAGATGTTGGATCTACCTTTATTCCTGCCTTCCTTCCTCCTTCCTCTCTCTTTTTCACTCTCTTACACACACACACACACACACACAGGGTCTTTGTGTTATGTAACCCAGACAGGCCTGGAACTTCTGAACCTCCTGTTTCTAGGTGGGAACTCGGCAGACAGTGGTACATCCCCAGCCAGATGCTGAAGTTTTGATGCTCCTGCTTCAGCCTTTTAAGTAGCAAGGATTACTGGCCCACATTACCAGGCCTGGCTTGGGTATCAGTGTTTCTTCCATCCTGACTCCAAAGAGGCACTACCATTGCTACCTCTCCTCACCACTATTCCCAATTCCTATTTCTTGGGATGGTGAATGCCATGGAACACTAGTGACACCGTGTTGTGTGTGTGAATCCTCTGCTATGAGTGAACTTTCCTTCCGTTTAGGGAGAGAGACAAGGTTAAGGAAGTGCAATAGTGAAGGGGCAGGGAAGTGGGAGGGACGAGAAGGAGGGAGGAAGAGGTGGAAGGTTTTGGGAGTAGTGACTCTCCCCCAGGTCACGAATCAGAATTATCTAGGGGAGAATGGGGCAGAAGAAAAACCGAGAGGACACATTCAGGGAACCGAAAGTGGCTTAGTCTGGCCAAAGCTCATGGACGATGTGAGACTCAAGTCCTGCTAGGCCATGCGAGGAGCCCTCCGTCTAGACAGAGCAATGGAGGTCCCCAACTCAGGGTGCAGGACGCCATTCACAAACAACCAGGAGGCTCTGAACCATGGCTGGAAAATGTACAGCACACCCCATTTCTGAAGCCAGATCTCTCGGTTGATGGAGAGAAGCTGGGTCACTCGAGAGATGGGAGATTCCAGAAATGCTGCGGCCGGAGTCAGCGCAGTGTCAGCAAGGGAGAAGAGTATGAAATACTGCGGCCTGAGTCAGGGCAGTATCAACGAGGGAGGAGAGTATGAAGGGAGTCTAATGACCCGCAGGAAAAAAAAGCAACCGGGCTTCATGCCTGGGTTTGTGGGGGACTAAGGGGAGAACCGGGTCTCCAGCGTGGACAGCTGGCAGCACCACTGACTGACAGCTAATGAAAGCATCTTTGCCCCTCACCTTTCCCTCTCCTTCCACTGACTGACAGATTCCCCCATCCCATCTCACTCTTTATTGATTATGTTGTTCTTTCTTCTTTCCTGTCCCAAATGTCTCTGTGGAGAAGTCTAGAAGCATTGGTGGGGAACGGTTCAGCATGCCTCTGCACCCCACTCCCCACCTTAGCCTTCTTTCGGGGGGTCCCTTTTGAGTATGGTTATGGATATTTATTCATTTGGAAAAATTGATCCTAAGACTTCACACTATTCCAGCAAGCATCCTTCACTGTGCTGTCTAACCGTCTCTTGTTTTTGAGACAGGCCCCTCAGTTGACCAGACCCGCCTTGAATTTACTCTACAGCTCAGAAAGGCCCTGCTCCTTCTGTTCTCCTTCCTCAATCTTCCGAGTGTCTGAGACTGCAAACCCACGTCACGATGCCCGGCTGAGTACAACCTTCTTGATTGCTAATTTTCTTCCCACTGATATCTAGCTTCCTTTCTGCCTCACTCGCTTCTAGACTCCCCGTGTGACTGGGGCGGAATTAGATGATCTAAATTGGAATCCGGGAGATCAAGGAATTCTGATTACTACCTGGGTGTTGGAAACTGCCTTTGGATCTGATTATAGAGCCCCAACCTCAAGCAGTTGCGACCAGAGAACAAAGTTAAGACCCCAGAAGAAATGTCTCTGAGCTAGGTGTGAAGGGTGAATCTGCATCCCTTGCCGTTCCCAGAACACCAGCTGCTTGGTATGGAAGTCCCCGAGGTACTGGGATAAACCTGCTGTGAAGAAAACTAAAAATGTCGTGGCCATTTAGGGTTTACTCCTTGGAGCTGGATTTGAGAGGTCTCATTGCCTACTCTCGGGGGTAATCATAGTAATGCCCGAAGCAAGACCAGAACTTCTACAGCATCCAGAAAACTCCAGATCAGCGTGGCTGCTTAAGGTTCACTCCCTATTGACTCCACCTCCCCTTTCCCACTGGCTCCACCCTCCTCTTTCCCACTGGCTCCACCCTCCCCTTTCCTACTGGCTTCATTATCCTCATTCCCATTGACTCCACCTCCCCTTTCCCACTGGTTCTACCCTTCCCTTTCCCACTGTCTTCACCTCCCCTTTCCCACTGGCTCCACTCCACTGTCTCCACCCTCCCCTTTCCCACTGGTTCCACCCTCCCCTTTCCCATCGACTCCACCTCCCCTTTCCTATGGTCTCCACCCTCCCCTTTCCCACTGTCTCCACCCTCCCATTTCCCACTCTCGTCTTTCTGCTGGTTCCATCCTTCTCTCCTTGTCTGCTTTTGCTCACTTCCCTGGTTCTCCTCCCTTGTCTCTATTCATTAGTCCGTCTACCTGCTGCAGGTTGAGGTCAGCGGGCAGCTCCTGGTGCTCTTGGGCCCTGCGCAGGCTGTCCTGCACGCTGCCTCCCGGAGGACAGTGGCGTGTGAGTGTGAGCACAGCATCGTGTGCTCTGCGAAGCTGGGAGCTGTTGATAAGTGGAGCCAGAGCCTCCGGGCCTGGAGACAACGCATAGTGAAGCGTGTCGAAGGGCAGGAAGACCAGAGAGCCATCAGCTAGGCCCAGCTCTTCTGCAGCTTCCAGCAGGTAGCGCTGCTCCTCGCCGCCCAGCAGCACCGAGTGCATCACCATGATCACTACTGCAGACACAGAGGCTGGCTCGCTACACTGCCCGCTACCCGCAGGACCCGCCCATCTCCCCTCACCTGGGAGCCTACCTCTAACTCTAGGGCCGTCCTGGATCCTCCTGAGAGCCTCCCGAGCTCCAGACAGGTCTGAGGACTCCATGGAGGTCACTGGGGCAACTGGCAAGCCCCGGGCCCTGAGTGCTGTAGACAGAACACGTCCCGCCTCCACCCACAGGTCCTGGGGCGCAGTGATGAGGGCCAAGCGTGCCCAGCGGAATGCTCGAAGAAGGACGTAGAGAGCATCTGCAGCGGGGGTCACCGCCGGGGCTGTAGTACCCGCCGCCCGCGTGCCTGGGCAGCCCCAGGGTACCAGCGCTACTCCAGCCTCCTGGGCTAGTAGTTCAGCTGGCCGGCAGGCTGCGGGGTTCACTGGACCCACCAGACCAGAGACTCGAGATAGCGCTGAGGACACAGCCCCTAGAGAGCCCGGGGTCAGGCAGGGCTCTGGCAGCAACGCAACCTCGAATCGGGGTCCGCTGTCTAGGGCAAGGTCACGATTCAGGCGGTCGGCGGCCAGACGCGCAGCCAGATCCGGGCGGGCCCGGGCAAAGATGGGGTCGCAAGTCCAGGGGCCCAGGATCCCCACTTTGAACACGGCCGAGAGGGCAGCAGGCGGCGGGAGCAGTAACAGGAGCAGGAGTCCGGGCAGCCGAGACCCTGGCCAGCACAGGACCCGAGAAAGGCTGGACGAGGACTGCCACACAGAGACGCAGGACCTGGCGTCGGGAAGCCCACTCGCTGACAGGAGCCACGCGGTCATTGCCTGCTTCTGTGAACACAGAGCAAGCAAGGGGACAGCTGAGATCCCTAGAGCTCCCTTAGGGTTCTCCACTCTAGCCGGATTTTCAAATCCCTCCCAACCCTAAGGGTGTCTAGGCTTTCCACACACTTGGACCCTAGATGGGGGCAGGGCACCGCCCCAAGGCCTCTTTGGCCTAGCCTGGCCTGGCCTGCTCGTCCCAGCTTGTTTATTTGTTTATCCTCCCTCCCCAGTCACTATCCTCAGGTTCCGAGAAGATACTCCCACGCCCTCACACAGGACCCGAGTCCACCTACTCGGAGTAGTCCATTTACTACTTACCAGGTAGTCCCTGGCTGGGGCCTGGCTAAGGGGTCACAGGGTCGATGCCCCTTCGGTCTCGCCTGGCAGCCCAGCCCAGGGCGGGGGTGTGGGAACAGCCCGTTGGAGCCCTTAATCTCCTCAAGCCGATTAGGATCTTTAAATCAAGCAGAGAGGGGCGGGCTGATGGAGGCTGAGAGTCCCTCTGCTCCTCTCTCCGGTGGGATCTGCGCTGCTTCCAGGCAGCGAGGGCTCCTTAGCTAAACACTCAGGGAGGAAAAGTAACAGAATCAGGTCTGTACCGCGTGCAAATTTAGTATCAAGTTTTAGACTTACACGTGAAAATCAAAAGTTTATATTTTTCAGTTGTCTCCGCAAAAATTGTATCAGCTAAGAATCATCCCTGGAACTGGGCGGTGGTGGCACACACCTTGAATCCCAGCACTCTGGAGGCAGAGGCAGTCGGATCTCCGAGTTCAAGGCCAGCCTGGTCTAAAGAGCCAGACTGATCTAAAGTGCTACAAAGAGAAACCCCGTCTCGAAAAACCAAAAAGAGTAAAAAATTAAAAAAGAAAAACGATTCATCTGTGGATACTAAAGCTAAGCGGGAAATTTGAAGACCGACCGGATGTTTTGTTTCCCATGGTTATAAACTGTCACTCCATCTGTCCGCTTGTAGGTTGGAGGACAGCAGGCATAGAATTGTTGCAATTTTAATTGTAAAAAAACTCTCTATAGTTTGGTGTTCTGGCCTTTAATCCCAGCACAAGGGAAGCAAAGGCAGGTGGATCTCTGTGAGTCTGAAGTCAGTCTGGTCTACCTAGAAAGTTCCAGGACAACCAGGACTACAATAGATCCTGTCTCAACAGTTATTTTATTTCATGTGTATGTATGTATGCCTGAGTATATGTATGTGCTCCGCATGTGTGCAGGAGCTGATGGAGGTCAGAAGAGGCATCAGAACCCCTGGGACCAGAGTTACACATGGTTGTGAGCCACCACGTGGGTGTTGGGGATGGACCAATATGTAAAGGTTGCTGAGTAGTTTTTCAGGCCTGTAACTGCTGCAACGCTCCCCTCCCCACTCCTTGGCTGGTGGTTTCCAGTCTATGGGGACAGGACATTTATTTGCCCCTTCGCTGTTTGGTTTTGATAAGAATGTCCTATTTCATCCCTTGCATAATTACTCTCTCTCCCTGTCACCCTCCCTCCTTCCAGCTCATACGCCACCTTTAGGGAAAAACTTTAAACCAGTAAAGATATAAAAATGCTACAAGGAGTCAGACTGCAGTGGCACACGCCTTTAATCCCAACATCTGGGAGGCAGAGGCAAACGGATCTCTGGGAGTTCCAGGCCAGCCTGGTTTACAGAGTGAGTTCCAGGATAGCCAGGGTTGTTACACAGAGAAACCCTGTTCAGGAAAAAAAAAAATGCCACAAGAATATCAACATCAGTCAGATTCGGTGAGAACCCTGTAATCTCAGGAGGCAGAAGTGAGAGGTTGGTGACTCTGAGGCCAGTCTCTAGATACAGGGGGAAGTCACGTCTTGGACCAAACAAAAGAACATCCTCAAGATTACTCTTGAAGAATGACTCATTGGGTGATCCTCTGGCTTCCATATGCATGCATGCACGCACCCACAGAGAGAGAGAGAGAGAGAGAGAGAGAGAGAGAGAGAGAGAGAGAGAGAGAGAACCAACCACTGACAAAATTGGAATATGAATGGGCAATTTGGTAAGTTACCACTGTATATTTATGAAGTTAATAACTGTGCTATGGTTATACTAAGGAATGCTCCACCAGGTATGATGGTGCAGGCCTTTAATAATCCCAACAGAGAAAGAGGCAGACAGATCTCTGTGAGTTCAAGGCCAGTCTGGTCTACATAATGAGTCCCTGGCCAGCCACGCTACAAAGTGTGATCCTGTCTCAAAAAAGCCAAAAGTCAAAAGTTCCAAGTCATAAGAAATAAACATTAAATATTTAATGACAAAGCATCAAGATATTTTTAAACATCAAAAATTTCTCAATATATGATATACACATATATATCAGTTTATATTAGATATTTCAAATAATAAGATGATAACTATGGGGGACTGGAGAGATGGCTCAGTGGTTAAGAGCATTGCCTGCTCTTCCAAAGGTCCTGAGTTCAATTCCCGGCAACCACATGGTGGCTCACAGCCATCTGTAATGGGGTCTGGTGCCCTCTTCTGGCCTGCAGGCACACACACAGACAGAATATTGTATACATAATAAATAAATAAATATTTAAAAAAAAAGATATAACTATGGGTAAATCTGGGGGCTAGGGAAATGGCTCAGTGGATCAAGTGCTTGCCGTGCAAACATGAGTTTGGATTTCACACATAGAAAAAGACAGACAAGATGGGCAGAGGTAGCACACGCCACCTTTAATCCCAGATGGGGAATTCTGGGGCTCACTGGCCTGCCAGTCTAACTGAGACGGTGAGCTCCAGGTTTAGTGGGAGGCTCTGAAATTCAGTTTAGTGGAGTACAGTGCCCCCAGCCAAACCTGACCGACTGGATTTAACCCCTGGGACCCACATGACAGGAGAGAATTGGCTCCAGTAAGTTATTCTCTGACCTACACACACACATACACACACATGTGCATGCATACTCACAATACACGCACACATACATGCACACATGTGCACATACACATACATGCATACGCACACACAGTGATATATTTACTCTCAAAATCAATAAATAAATGTAATAAAAATAAATATTAAGGGGATTAGAGAATACTTGCTACTTTCCAGAGGACCCAGGTTTGATTCCCAGCAGTTATATGGCAGCTCACAACTTTCTGTAATTCCAGTTCCAGGAGATCCAGTGTCCCTTTCTGGCCTCCAAAAGGCAGATGCACAAACATACAAGCAGGCAAAACACACATACATATAAAATAATAAAATAGGATTTAGCCAGGCAGTGGTGGTACATGCCTTTAATCCCAGCACTTGGGGGACAGATACAGGTAGATAGATCTCTTTGATTTCGAGATCAGCTTGGTCTACAGAGTGAGTTCCAGGTAGCCAGGGATACACAGTAAAATTCTATATAAAAAAAATAGATAAAATAAGATTAAAAATAACACAGTGGTGCAGTAATACACTAAAATTGGAATGATACAGAGAGGATTAGCATGAATGTCTGTTCACAAGGGTGACACACACACTCATGAAGTCTCCATATTTTTGTCCCCCGGAGATGTCAGAGAGGCTACACCTACCAAGTCTCATCAATATGGCTGCCAAAAGAAGATCTGAACAAAGACACAAGTGGGCTTTCTAACATGGAAGGGAGCAAGCTCAGGGGCTTCTTCCCTACGAACTGTGGGCAGCGGAGCAATGCTAAGAGCAGGAGAAATGGTCTTCCCCAGGGAAGAGCTCTCCAATTCGCTATTCAACACCACGTGGTCACCCCGAGATCATATACATACAGGTAGCATTATAAGGACTGAGGAGGTTGTATTTATATATCTGGGGAAGTATACATAAACAACTAAAGGAAAAGAGGCTATGAGCTGGAGCTGGAGGGAGAGCAAGGAGGGTGCATGGGAGAGGCTGGAGGGAGAGCAAGGAGGGTGCATGGGAGAGGCTGGAGGGAGGAAAGAGAAGGGGAAAATGATGTAATTATGTCATAATTTCAAAAACATAAAGTGGAAAGAGATAGAGAAATACACTGATGTCAGTCTCTGGGCATGCATAGACCAGTGTGCCCAAGTACACACAAGCACATATGTACATAGTCCACAACACACACACTCTGAAAATCGGAGGTGAATCAGGGTGGAGAACATGAATAAGTTCTTTGTTATTTTTGTAATGTTTCATAAGTTTGAAGTTTTTTCTGAATTAAAGGTTGCTAGAAAATGCTAAAATGAGTATGTCTTTATCAGCTCAGGATAAAAAGGAATTTATTAAACAAGATTAATACATTTTTTAAATGCCTGGTGCTAAGCAGAAGCATATAACAAAGAAAACATGAGCCACTGACTAGAAAATCTTCACGGACACAAGCGAACTGCTAGGGGTGCGGCTCAGGTGATAGAGAGCTCACCTAGCACACACACCGCTCTGGCTCAATCCTCAGCACCACGCAAAATAGAGCATGGGAGCCCACAACTGTAATCCTAGCACTTGGGAGGCAGAGACAAGAGGGGCAGACGTTTAAAGTCATCCTCAACTACATATTGAGTTCAAGGCCAGCCTGGGACTGATTCAGGAGACACTCTGTCATAAATAAATAAATAAATAAATAAATAAATAAATAAATAAGGAAAATGAAAGAAAACAACTAACAAAAGTTGGTATCTGTCTATCCCTCCTTATCTACAACATCTAACTATCTATAGCCATATAAAAGATAAACGTTCTAGTATTGAAATGGACAAAGGATGTGAGCAGGTACATCAATGGAAAAGCTTAAGAGAAAATGTCCAGCCTCTCTAACAGCCAAGAAGAGAAACAGCACAAGGCAGTGACGAAACACTGGTAAAATACACGTGTGACAACACTGGCCTGCTGGAGCGTGAACCTGTCTTTGTTGGTGACAGTATCGCTAGAGCCGTTCTACAGCGGTGACGCGGCAAGCCCATTTTCCAGTATCTTCCTGTGATAGTTAATTTGATAAGATTAAAAGTCACCGCAGAAACACACTTCGGGGTGAGTCTTTGAGGAAGTTTCTGGAGCAATTTATTCATTAAAATATAGTTACTGACAAAAAATACAGTTACTGGAACTGGAGAAACGGCTCATCAGTTAAGATTGTCTGTTGTTCTCCCAGAGGACCTGAATTCAATTCCCAGCACCCACATGGCAGCTCACGACTGTCTGTAACTCCAGTGCCAAGGGATCCGACACAACCTTTTGGCATCGTCGGGCATCTGAAGTTATGTGCACACACCCCCACACAGAAACACAGACATACACATTCTTTAGAAAATAAAATCTTTAGCTGGGCATGATGGTACATATCTTTAGTCCCAGCACCCAGGAGGCAGATGCAGGTGGATCTATATGAGTTCGATGCCAGCCTGGTCTAGAGAGTGAGTTCCAGGCCAGCCAGGGCTACATAGAGAAATCTTGTCTAAAAAAAAAAAAAAAAAAAGTTATTGGATTTCTTCTGTGTTTGTTAAGCACTATTTTAGGCTCTGGAAACACAGCAGTGAATTAAGACTTTAAACTTCCTGTCTTCATAGAGCTTACATTCTGCTGAGGGCAGAAGACAATGTTTATTACAATATTATTACACGTTCAAAGGCTGGAATACATAGCAGGCACAGAAAAACATGAAAATCTGTTACATTTTGGTTGGAAATAATTATCTCTTATTTGCTGTATCCTGCATGAGTTGGTCCAAGGAGCCTGAGTGGGGTGACACGGGTTACAGAAACCACAGACACACGTACAGCAAGCCTGCAGCTGGGGAGCCCAGGCTCTCTGGGATGACAGGGCACCTAGTCCTAACCGCGGAACCCAGAGTGTTGATTATGTACATCTGAACTGGGGCGGGAGTTCTTTGTATACACCTGAATAAGGAGGCGGTTTTCGATCCGCAGCCAAAAAAGGACTCAAAGTCCAGCTCATCTTGGTATGAAGTCTCTGTAGGGAGCATGCTAGGCTGTAAACAACAGGAGGGGGAAGCTGGGGTGAACGCTCTCCCTACACTCTGTCAGCACTAGGATGCCTACCAGAGGAAATCTTCGCTATACCCCACCCCATGCAGTTGAAATATCTCATATAGGTAAAGTCATATAATATTTGTCCCTTTGAACTTACTTATTTGTGTGTGCGCACACAAGAGTGTGGCACATCCACGCCACAGTACACAAGCAGTAGTCAGAGGACAGCTTGTTGGAGCCGGTTCTCGCCTTTCACCTTGGGGGACCCAGGGTCAAGTTCAGGTCACTATGCTTTGGAGCCAGTGTCTTTACCGGATGAGCCATCTCACGGAGCCTGTCCTTTTTTATATGACTTATATCACATGCCGTAATGTTTATATGACCGTTCCCCATTGCAGCATGTGTGCTTCATTTCGACAAAAAATATTTCATTGAAAATATTTCTGTGAATTCTTTTGAGAATTTTACGCATGTATACAATATATTTTGATTGTGTTCAATTCTCAATCCTCCCACTAAATCCTTCCAGATCCAATCCCACCTCATCTTCCCTCTCAACTTCATACTTCTTTTTTATTTATTTTTTATTTATTTTTAACCCACAGAGTCTAATTTGTGCGGCTCACACACCCCTGGGTGTGGCACTATCACTGGAGTGTGGTGGGCCTAACTGGACCACATCCTTGGAGAAAACTCCCCACACCCAGGAGCCATCAACTGTCAATTGTTCCTCAGCTTCGGGTAGGGGTTCTTTTTAAGGCTGAAAAGCGTTCCCCTGGGCATACATACCACACTTTGTAGATCTGTTCATTTGTCCATCCACTCTTAAGTAGCTTCCATCTTGTCTCCTCGGAAGCATAAAGACCTGAGCTTGGCCCCTGGGTCCCCCAAGGTGGAAGGCGAGAACTGGCTTCAACAAGCTGACTACTCCACGTGTGCCGTGGCGTGAATGCGTCACAGTCGAGAGCAAAGCCACTGTGCCCTTAACAACAAATCCATTCTCTGGATCTTAGAACCAAAGGTAAAATTTGTGGATTGTACAGTGATTCTATTTTTAATTGTTTGAGGAGACGGTGTGGTGAGTTTTAATTTTATTTTATTTCCACTCACTGCACTATTTTATATTCAGGGGGTGGAATAGCTATAAATAGCCTCCACTGCCCCAGGAGGCACAGAAGGTCTGGGTTTTTTTTTTCTATAGGAGGAAAGGGAAAAGGTCTTTCTTCCTGCTTCTGAGCCCCTCTCTGGCTCCCTCCAAGCCACGGAGGACTTCACAGGAGGAATTCTTTTCTATTTGTGGAATCACTGTGCCAGCAGATAAGAAAAAAAAATAGTCTTTAAAAGAGGCAAAACAATGTGTGTGTGTGTGTGTGTGTGTGTGTGTCAGGGATTAAGTCCAAGGCTTTGCATACAAACACTCTAGTACTGAGCTTGTAGCCCCAAACAACTTTTGAAAGAAAGAAACTTATCTTGAATTTCAGAGTAGCAGACCTGAGATGGAGGCAACAAGACTTGATTCTAAATACTAAATGAAAGGTTCAGCCTGAGTCAGAGAAACCACTGAACAGAGGAGTGTAGAAGCCAGGACTCCATTACACACAGTTTATAGTGGCTACAAAATAGCAAAGGAGGAACAGAGAAATAGATAGCATGTTCCTTTCAATGAAGCAAGCAAGGGAACCACACACATACATAAAAAGAGAGGCATGGAGCACAGTTCCATAGCAGAAAACATGAGGCCCTGGGTTCTGCTATGTCCTGGAAACCTGAGAGGGACAAGGAGGGAACGAGGACATGACAGGCGCTCTTACAGAAGAGCTGTGCTCTCTGCTGGAGGGCACCTACTACAATACAGCCTGGGTGAGCTCATTACACAGGGCACAGGGAGGAGTTAGCAAACTGGCCTGGGGAGGAGTCTCTGTAGAGGAGCAGCAGTCTCAGACCACCCGCATCTGGGAGGAGGAAGCTGCAGTGGGCGCTTTCTGTTTGCTCTGTCAGCTGTTCAACATGGAACAGAGGAAGGCCCAGCAAATTCCCATGAGTCTGGGGTCCTCGTCAATAATACACATACAGCAATAATACACATTACTCAGGGTTTCCAAAGCCTCGGCCTTTATCAATCAATCAGTAAGTAATTTAAAATTATCTGTGCTCTCTGATTACAGAAACAATGTGTATTTCTCATACAAATCAAAACATGCAAAAATTAAAAGCAAAAAAGTCTTTCCTGGGAGACTATGTGGCTATCATCAACAGCTTGTGTGTATGTGTGTGTGTGTGTGTGTGTGTGTGTGTTCAGGGGTGCCTTGTGTTTGTTTGTGTGTGTGTGCTCAGCGGTGCCTATATGTGTATGTTTGTTTGTGTGTGTGTGTGTGTGTGTGTGTGTTCAGTAGTGCCTATGTGTGTGTGTGTATGTGTTCAGGGGTGCCTGCGTGTGTGCTCAGTCATGCTTGTGTGTGTGTGTATGTTCAGGGGTGCTTGTGTGTGTGTTCAGGGGTTCCTATGTGTGTTTGTGTGTATGTTTAGGGGTGCCTTGTGTGTGTGTGTGTGTGTGTGTGTGTGTGTCCAGGCAT